GGTCCAGCGGGGGGACCGCGGCCGCTGCAGCGGCGTCAGAGCGTGTCTCGACTGCTGCTCCCAGCTTTCCTTCGGGAGCCCCCCGCTGAGCCGGGGCTGGAGCCGCCCCCGGAGGAGGAAGGGGGAGAGCCGGCAGGGGTCGCAGAGGAGCTTGGCAGTGGGGGACCCTGTTGGCTGCAGCTAGAGGAGGTGCCGGGACCTGGACCTCTCGGGGGAGGGGGGCCCCTGCGCTCCCCTTCCTCGTACTCCTCCGATGAGCTTTCCCCCAGCGAGCCCCTGACTTCTCCGCCCTGGGCCCCCCTGGGTGCCCCTGAGCGGCCAGAGCATCTTCTAAACCGGGTCCTGGAGCGGCTGGCCGGAGGGGCCACCAGGGACAGCGCAGCCTCAGGTAAGGAGTTGGCTGGCTCATTCATCCTGGAGTAAGGGATTGTCACCTGGTTCCTCTTCCTTGCCCTTGGAAAGTAGGGGTGGCTCTGTGCTGGAGCCTGGTGGGGGATTGAATGGTCAGCTGAAGTGGGGTAGAGGCCCATCGGAGGAACAGACCCTTCCACAGAAGAGAAGTGGCAGAGCCATCTTCCTCCCTATAGCAGACTCAACCACAGCAGGAGAAGCTGAACCTCTTTCTCTCCTTAAGCCACCCTTCCTTTCCCCTGGACATTTTATCCAGTCTCATGGGTCCCTGATATTGATTACCTCCTTCTGGGGCCCCAAAATTGGAGCCTGACACACTAAGATGGAGGCTGCCCGGAGCAGCCCATGCCACCCCACCCCCCCAGAGGTGCCCAAGCCTGAAAGACCTTCCAGGATTCCCCAAATCTGTTTAGAAGCCCAGAGCAGAGGGCTGGCCCACTCAGTGAGGCAACACCAGACAGGCACAGGGCTCAAGCTGCCTTTTGGGCTTTGGCAAAGGGATACACTGTCCTTAGTAGCTTGTGGGTAAGGAAGCATTCTAGTTTTCTAGTTGGAGGCTGACTCAGAGGTGGTGTTGGGGGAGAGGCGGCTGGGCAGACATCAGGGCCCTGCAGCATTCAGGGGGGTCTGAGCCCCTCCAACTCCCGCCCTTTTCATGGCAGGCCTCAGCACACAGCCTCTTTCAGAAATAATAACCACACCCTGAGAGGCTTATTCCCTAAACGATGATGCTATTTCACCACTCCCCACCAGCAGCCCTACTAAGGGGACTTTGAGGAAACTGAAGCCCCAAATGGCTGGTTAGTGGTTGAAATAGAAGACCTGTGGGTCTTTAGGTCTAGCTCTCAGCATTTCACTAAGCCTGACAGGGTTTGGGGATTGGGAGCCTTGGTTGAAGATCTCAAGGGAGGTTTCATACTTTGCTCTCAGATCTCTGCAGGGAGCCCTAGCCTAGGTGTGTAGAATGGGGCTCCACTCTCTTAGATTTTTCTCAAGACC